TCTCTCTCTCTCTCTCTCTCTCTCTCTCTCTCTCTCTCTCTCTTCGTGTGTATTTTTAACTCGAGTGGCTAACTCTGCCGTGTTTTCATTTTTGCAGGGATCCAAACTTGCGGAAAATGGACAACATCAACAGCTATTTGCAGCTCAGCACGTAAACTGGCGGAGGTTGCTGGCAATCCAGTAGAGATATTACAAAATTAATTAACAATTAATTAGTGGGCTTGGCTGAGCCTGGCTGATGTAGGCCTCGATATTTCTTTACATTCCATTAATTACTTATTTCCAAAACCAATCCAAGCCAAAGGTGCCCATATGAATCCCTGATATCTCAAGAAACTGTGAGTCTTGAAGGAGCAAATTCGGGAAAAATATTTGGTAATTTTGTTTTACAGATTAATGAAACATGCCATTAGCATGATACATGCTATGCTGGCAAACTGATAAAATGCATTTTAGGAGGCATTTATGTACAATCTTGTTAATGAAGACTTTATTTTTATTCCCCTTATATTTTGAGAAACATTAGGTTTTTGTTTTAATCTGCCCATAAATACATTTTAGAGTTATGTTTTGCTTTTGATCAGTCAAATGTTTCATATTTTGCTGAGTTTCATTATCTGGTGATTGCATTTAGCATTAAATGAGGCAAGGGTGAATCAAATGAATTGAGCCTTAAAGTAGGTTAAGAAAGCTTTTTGAAGTGTTAGACATTCTATTAACACAAACTAATTTATTTGTTGATTTATTCGTGTTTGACTTTTTATGTAGGTTTGTTCAGTGATGGATAGCAATAAACCAAATTACCTTGCGGGCGGGCTGGGCTGATAGAGGGAGTCCATTGCTGGCATCTAATTTTATCTCCTTGTACCAAAGCAATGCCATGGGGACTTCTTCTCCTGCCCCAAGGCAACCGTAATCATTATGATAGGAACAGTATAACTAAATGTCTAGTAGTGTTTGATGATTGGCAGGTTTTATAATATTTCTGCTGTGCCGTTCCTGAGAATTTGAATTGTTCAGTGTTAGCTGCTTACATTGTTACGAGCCTCTCTTGTAGTTTATTATAGCAGTATTTCTCTCAGAGATCTCAGTGAAAACAGTTCATTCAGAATTGACGGGACAGCGTATTGTTAGTGTATCTTTCTCAATTGTGAGCAATTATTTAAAGGGTGGAAGGTTGAACAAAATGTTTTTACAGTCCATTCTCTCAATATTGCCCAAATGGTACTGTAAGTAGACTGACCATTGCTTGTTTCTATTGGACAATGGCAAAGTGCAGCTACATTGAGACACTGTGGTTACTGCAGTAAACAATGCGTCTTGATCGGTCTGGCTCGTGAGAAGTTGAAATTTGAACTGCAATAAGGTTCTGTTGTTACGTAGTACCAGTATTGAAGTATGGATCCTTCATGTATTAATATTGTTATGCATATGAAGTCAGTGTCGACCATTCTGGTTTTATTAATGAGAAAAAGAAGTTGTGTGTCTGGCAGAGCTGGATTGAAATCTACTAACTGGAATACTGCAGGAGCCTCATGTCTCTGTCTTCTGCATCATTGACAGGCATAACTTTTTATGTAGAAATATATATTATATGCTCTGTGTTGATTTCTGTTTGAAACAAATTTAGTAGAAACTTTTATGAGAGTAATATTTATTGAATTTAGTAGTCGCTTTGTGTGTGCAAGGTTGATGTGATATTTCATAGAATAATGATAAATTGTATGGACTGCACATACCTAGAAGCTGAATTAGATATGGATTGGGAGACCCCCATACATCAGTTTCTATTATCAGAGAAGGAAATGTATCTCAAAAGAAGATTACTAAAGCAAGGGATGCAAAGATATGTAATGCCATGTTAATATCAGCTCTAGTATGTCAGCCCTTTCTGTTTACGTGCTCTGTGTGGTAGTAGGTGTTAAATTTGCTGGACAAAGGGCAAATAAACAGAAGTTTTTCTTTATGCCCATAAAGTGTCAGTAAACTTAACACAATGATGCCAGCACAGGTATGTGAAAGTTTCCGTCCATTTTTTTGTCTTTAAAATAAGAAAGACGTTACGCAGCTCAAAGCTACAGGGGCGATCCTTGTTGTGGGGCACACTGGGGATTGCAGAAAACACACATATCAGCTTAAATTAAGAAATTTAGGTAAATTTGAATTATGAGATCCGAACCTATTTGTTGTTTGTGTAAACATGACTTGTTTAGCAATGCTAATTGTATCATGAAATTATTATCTATTGCTACTTGTAATGTAATAAGAGGATCAATTACAAAGGCTCCTTTTTATGTTTAGTTGTACACAGAGACATGCAAACAGTGAGAACTTTAATGCTCATTGTGTACCTGTGTGTAACCCCTTACCTGTCTAAGAGATGCTTGTTTTGTTTGTAAGCATTTTCAATGAAAACCAAAGTTGTACATAGCTTTTAAAGATGATGCATGATAAGTAGAATACTTGGACAGATATGTCTGCTATGTTTTTTAATTACTCTGATTTCTTCATTTTCAATACTAGTGGCTCTCTTTTTCAAAGTTTATATTCTGGAATACGCATAGTCTTTTGCAATATCTGGTTATCATGATTTTTCATGACAGCAGATAAGGAAAAATTACTGCTTTGCCTAAGTAGTACCCCAGTGCTCAGAGAGCATTGTGATAACTCATTGAGATTTAATGTGGAATTATTCATCAACAATTACGTTCTGCAGAACATAGCATTTTCTTCAGATAACTCTTTGCATCTCTATGATGTATATTTCGACACACTTTTTCCTAGACAGTTGTAATGTCAAGAGTCACAGTGGCCCAGGCCTGGGTGGGAAGCAGCTTCTAAATTTTGTTACCCCTGTGTCATTTTTGTCAGACTCCTCGTACAGCTGTTGTAGTAGGAAGACCATGCTTTCCCTTTCATGTCTCTGTGTGCACTTCTTATTTCCCTTCCTTCTCAATGCAATTTATGGGGCTCAAATAATTAGACTAAAGTGTTAATTATTTTTAATATTCCAACAAATTTTTTGGAATTGCTGAACTTTTCTTTAAATTTTTAATTTTCTAATGTTATTTATCAATTATGTTGTTAATTCAAAGTTATAAATTGAAACAAAACAATTCCCTTTGCAAACTCCATGTGTAGTAGAGAATGAAACATTTATCATATGTATTACAATCTTTGAGTGATATATGACATGTTTGAGTAGATCTTGTCAAATTTAGATGCAGAAAATGTTTTTCAGCCATAATCAAGTAAACCCAACTGTTACTTTTTTAATTGTTATGTTCTGTGATGAGGCAGAAAGACATCATTGGAAGTTTGAGTCAATTCAAACAGGCAACTAGCAATAATAAAGTCAACTGCACTTCTCATGTGAGATGCTCTATTTTGAATCCGTATGGAGTTCTGACTGAACCTGAGCACCGAGGAAGTCAGATAATTTAGATTCAACCAATTCTACATTCAAAAGTATTTGAATGCTCTATTTTACTATTAATATTTGAACCATTCTATTAAGATTAGTGTGCAGATAAGGATAAGCATTGATTAACTGTCAAGTGTACTAGCGGATGATGTGAGTAAGGTCGATCTCAATTGTTTGTTGTTTATAGTTTGAGCCCCATAATGCAGATTTCCTCAATGTTATTTCTAAGGAAACTTTTTTTAACTCTTAAATGGAGCTATGTGATATAATCTTTAAAACTATAACCACTCACGCCTTCTGATGAGCCAGCTTTAGGTACTAGAACATAAAACACCAGTTTCTAAACATATCATGATCTGTGCCCCTTTTGATGAGACATCATAAAATTTTAGTAATGTTAAAGCAAAGTTTGATATATATATGACATGAGAATTTACAAAACAAATCTTTTTCAAATGTTTAAGGGTTTTGTGTATTTCTATCAATGAGTACTTATTACTTTTACTCTTTACTATAAATGTATGATTTTTAAGTTTGTTACTAAAAGAGTTGACATATCATTGTTCAACAGTGTAACATTGTGCATGTCCAAAATGTATGTGTCTGGTTTAGGTATTTATGCCACACACATGTTGTGCGCTCAGATGTCTATCTAGGAATTAAAATCAAGTCAATTTTTGCATTTCAGTTTTGCACCCAGCCATTTCTTGAAGAAACAGCTTTCAGTCATAATACCAGTGTTCACAACTGATATTAAATGACCAGCCCTATGTGTGTGTGAGCAATTTGAGTGACTGTGAGTAAAAAACTGCAATACATTGCTGTATCAAAACCAAATGGATGAGCTTTGATGGGTCGTCAATCATTCCTGTTATGTAGAATTAACTTGACAGGAAGTCTTCTTCCTCTTCTCTACAGTTGTTAGTTTTTGTGTGGCGTTATTATTGTAGGAGTAAAATGTAATTACATTTTTTGTAATTATAAGGTTTAAACCAAGAAAATAAGGAAACTAAAGGGTTGGTGTGCATTGAAACGGATGTTGAAACATTCATAGACAATCTCCCTGGTTGATTTGACAATTGCGAAAATATTTGCTTAATTTAAGGATCGTTAACTGTACTATTCCAAAGATGAGCTAGATTTCCACCAAAATGGAAAGTTACCTGTGTGATAAGTCTGTAAAAGCAGAATTTGCCTTCAATAACCATATCACTAATTGTTAACTTTACAATTGACAGATCACCACATGTTGTCTATGAGGTTTGGAAGACTTAGACAATTACTATTTTTTTTCCTCTCTCGACTACTCTTTATGTATTTGCGGTGCCACCTAGTTCTATCAACAGAAGGGCCAAGTTCTAAATAGCTATTTGAGGCAAACAAACATCACATATTACGAATGCAGAAGTAAACTGTTTTGCTTTTGAAGGAAGCACGCAAGGGTTTCTATAAAATCTGTGCCTTTTTCTGTTTTTCTTGCCATGAACAAGACCTCTTTTTTCCAAAACAACTGAATAAAGGTTGCTCATTGTTGATTTTTAACTAGTGTGGCCCATGATTTTTCTATCTTGACTTACCTAGAGTAATGACTGAGTTGACTTGAGTGGGATTCCATAAAGAAGTGTTCTGTTATCTTTTCATTGAGGATAATTTAAGTGGTTTTCTAAAGCATAGATATATTAATATATTTTCATTATTTTAGGAGTAAAAATTTGTCAGTTATTTTTATTAAAAACAATATGCGGCCCCATATCGTTAGTTTTTCTTTGATAACATTTATAGTCGTGAGAGAGAAGTCATAGTGTATGTATAAAGTCTGTATGGCAAACTGAAGTAAACCAATTCGAGACAGATGATTCCCATATTGCTGTTTTTGCTTATTCACAGGGCGCAATGTGAAAATGCTTGACATCCTTGCAAACTTTCTTCATTAACGTAAATTAATAATTTACTCTCTCTTAAGAACAATTTTTCTTGATACTTCTCTTTGTATTCCTCCAAGTTCACCTGTTAATTTTCACACAGTTGTTTGCATGCGCCCTGCATGTATAAAGAAAATATCATCCAACTTGTTAACATTAATTATGGTTATCAGTCGTTACCATGACTCTACCAAAATGTTCGGTTATGATCTAGTTGTAAAGTAGAATCATTCAGAGAAACAACAGCAAATGGTTTTCTGAGGAAGTTGTGTACCACAAGCTTAGCACAGTCAGAGTCATGAGCTAGTCACCACGTTATGGCATAATTGTGACCAACACCATCCTCTCAACGTGATAAAGAAGAAAACAGAAACTACTGTTTCCTCAACAATTCAAATTTTTGATTTTGTGTGGTAAACTGTGGCCCAGGAAAGAACATAACTGGCAAATCTGATTTGTGTTTTGAATTTCAAATCAGATCTCTGTATAGGGTCCAAAGAAGGAATAAATACTGTCTGTGTAAAGATATCAGCAGTCTATTACTTGTCATCTTCCTCCTCTTGCACAGCACCGAAACTGAAAACAAAAAAATTAAGAACTCCAGAGTCGGCTTAGTCCAACGGTAGAAAATCCTTTTTCGGGCATTATTTGTATGATATCCGACGCCCCCAGAGTGTAAGCAGAAACCATAGACTTTGCTCTGCTCATAATCTCTGACAACCCAATAAACACGAAAAACAGTCATTTGGAGTCATTTTACTGGTTTTCCACCTTATACTGGATAACTTTCTGCACAAATTTTGTCTGGGCAGTGAAACTTTAGCCAGAAGTCACTAACTTTTACGTGAAAAATGAGTCAAATGACTCCAATAATCGTCTTTCGACTTTATTGGGGAGGCGAAAGGCCCCCGACGCACGCGGGGGGGG